GCAAATGTATGAAAAAGTCGTGAGAAAAAAAAGATACGAAAATGCCAGAGTGCTAAAGTAGCATTAGGATTACAGGCAATATAACAAAATCCAATTAATACAAATGGAATAATATTTTCAATGTCATTTAAATGATTACGACGAATACGTTCAACATCTGGATCAGATGTAGTTGTTTGAATTGTTTTTCTCTCATCTAGTGGAATATCTTCGGGATTTGCAAATGCCTTTTAAAAGAAAAATAGAACGTAATTATTCTTTCTTCCAGAATAAAACAATAAATACATTCTTTTCAAATCGTTGTCGACTAGTTAATGGTGACATTATCATCATTTTAAGAATTGATGCTACTGCATAAAATAAAAAATTTCGAAAAACTGCATTATCCAATGTATAATAAAGTGTCGGCATTGTTCAATAAATTTTTTTAATATTGATTTGTAACGGATGAGAGGAAAAAAACAACAAGACGTTTTTATATATATAATCAAAAGCGAATGTGATAGAAGAAAAAATAAAATACAAGCCAATAACACGTGGTCTACTATTCTGTTTTATATCAAGGTAATGTGTCTAAAGAAAGAAATTGTTTTATGTCGTACTTGATAGTACGAACGCACATGACATCGTCATTTTATTCAATATAAATTAATTTTCGATTGATAAAATGGCTTAATTATAAATTTTATAACTACAATTATTCGATTGTAGACTCATTGATAATGTTAATCATTTTAAAAATAGTATATCTTTAATATTTCACTGATCGATATGATCACGCAAATATATTTCAACCTTGTGGATGAATAAATCCATAGGTAAATATCATCATGTGATACTAACTTTCGAAATTTGATTGTGTTCTGTAAAAAAAATCAACAAGAAAGATAGTTGATAATTAATATTTATGATAAAAATGTATTATTTAATATAAAGGTAAAAGATGAGTTGTTCTACCTTTTTTCAAATAATTCTTGATGTGAGTAATGTATGGATTAGAAAGACAATGATATCAACAGTTACTATACAATATCAAATATAAGAAAATAAAATAAGGTGTGTATTTAAAAAGAATGAGAAATAATGTACAAGAAAGAAAACAAAGGAATTTTAAGTTGATCGTATTTTAAACAATACTAATTTTATGTTTCTGCTCGTACTATTACTTCTATTGATCAATGTATTAACTCATTATTATCTACTGTAGTCAATTCAATAGAACAATCATCAAGAGAAATTAATTCCCATTCATGTTCTTCTCCTCCGTATACTATAGAATCTTTATTAGATTTTGATGATTCTTTACTTTCATACGATTATGAGATTAAAAGATATTTATGAATTATTTTCTAAATAAAAAATTCAGAATATAATGTACAATAAGTCGTCTGTTTATGTATTAAGTTGTTTATCAAATCATATTCGTTGAGTATTATCATTATTGAATTAATCGTGGATTTCCACTTATTTTAATTCCTTTATCATTACATCCTATTTAATACTATTTCATCTTCAATAAAAATTTATAGTATTGCTAACAACCGTTGAAAAGCGATTTTTACCTAAAATCCTGTCGTACCTTTCTCTCTTTCTCGAAAATAAAAACTCAGATCCACTACTAAGAACAAAAGTGTCATATAATAAACGTTATTTTTTCAGAAATACACTTTCATAATTAAACTAAACAGTATTAATACAACGAGTTCACAAAAGCTTATAAGCGAAAAAACAACAAGTTTCTTCAAATGTACTGTATGCAACGGAAGAAAAGTGGGTGAAGGATTTATACAAAAGTCACATCATCAAGGAATTCAAAATTTGAGAATCCATAGTGACTTGCCACAAAATAAAAATAAAATTGTATTTTATCATCCCAGCATATTCCAAAAATACCCAAAAAAATGAACTGCCAGGTGGATTAATATTCTTTAGGAACGGAAATTTAGACACTCCTATTCTCGACATACTCGTAGATGCACACTTATGCTAAAGTCAATGAATAAATTTCAGACACAATAACGTCAAAACAACTTTTATAGACTTTATCAATCATCAAATACTTCAAAAAAAGCAGTCACAATCTATGCAAAGTGATTAACATTAAAAGAAGCTTAGTAGAATTTGCCAACAAAATAAAGTAAGGAGTTTCGATTGCTTGGAAATTTTCAAGTATAACCGATAACCGCAGGCAAATAGACATGTTGGTAAACTATCGTGCTTCATATTGATCGACGATATTATACGACTGTAGTTGTCATCGTATTTATTTGTGCAGGATTGTCAATAGTACTTTACGACAGTCGTAATCATATACCTAGGAAGAAATCTCAGCTATTTACAATTCGTCATCAACAAATATATGGAAGTGGATGATTATAAAAATAGCTGTGTATACTTGCTCGTTCTACCAGTCCGGATTTAAACAAGAAAAGTAAGTTCTATCAGTGCACTGTAAAGCATTCGAATGGAAGCTTCTCTCAACATGGAAACACAATCAAACATTGAAGAAAACGTAGAAAAACATGTAGTCGTGGAACTCATAAATTCTGGTGAAGGACAATATAGTATGACAGAAATTGGTCTTTTCAGAATCTCATGTGACAAGAAACTCCGACGTAAGGACAAGAAACTAATGGAAGACTTTCAGTCTTGGATACCGATGTCGGAGCAGATTAATGAACGTCGGAATAAACAAAAGAACCCAATGATGCAAGCAGAATCTGTCAAATTTAATGCTGCTGCTGAATGCATTGAATATGTGGAGACTTGTGGTAGGAAGCGTGTCATTCTGGTACTATCAGGCTCTCATGCACAGAACAAAACACTAGTCTCACAATTCAAGCGATTACCTCAAATTGCCATGATTTATCGTCATGCATCTCAGCAACAGTTTCATCGATGGTCAGAGAGGTGGTCTGTCGATAGTTTATTCTCTGGTCGAAACCGACTGTCAAGAAAGATTATAGGAACCCCAGCGCAAAACTTAGATGAAGCGATCCAAATGGAGCTCATCGAAATATTATTCAACGAATTTATAGTAAATCTTCCAAATCCTGAAAAAGCTAAACAAGATTTTATTGATTTTTGCCGTTCCATTTACAAAGACGATGCAACTTATTTGAGGAAAATTGAAGACTTTGAAAACAACTATTCTAGTGATAAGGCTGTGTATTGGTATACAAAGGCTAGTTTCGTATTCTACATCGTCGGTGAAACATGCTCTAGCTTTAATTTTACTAATTACTTCAAAATTCGTTTTATTCTTCACGAACTTTACTTGGAATTGAAAAAACTACACGACGAACAGTCATCAATGTGGCCAGAGTCCTTCTTGGTAGTCTACCGAGGTAAGTATGTGACGCGAAAAGAATTAAGCCGATTGCCAAAAATGGGAGAACTGTTTATAACAAGAGGCTTCTTATCTTGCACAACTGATCACCAAATTGCAGACATCTTTTCTGGTGTGGATCGAGGGAAGAAAGATCAAGTAAATGTGATTATTTCTATGTGCATTGATCGTGAAGAAGTGACGTCGAAACCAATAGCATTTGTCAAAGAGGAAGGTGCAATGCAAAACGAAGAAGAAGTCATCCTACCGATGGGTCTTGTCTTTCGGATTGTTTCGTATGAAGAAATTGATAATGAAAATTCGGCAAGTCTTGTGAGAATTACAATGCTTCGGAGTAAAGTAGAGCAAGAAGTTGAGAAGAAGCTCAGTGAATCTTCCGTTCTGGCATCAACAGTTGGCACATCTGCACTTGTAACTATGGCTATGGTTCTACAATCTCTACCAAATAGCGAATATTGTGCAGAATTTAACCACTTTATGGCTAATACACCTGAATTGGTAGATTCGAATTTAACGGCTCAGCTCCAAGACATTATGCGTGGCAAGGTTCCATTTATATCGGTAAGTCAATGGATTTATTCTTCCTAGTTATATGGACGCGTATTAAATAGCTTTGATCCCTAAACTTTAAATTTTCTAAATAATATAGCAGAATACTGATTTTTAGTTCATGAGTTGTTTCTCGTAAGTTTTCAATACAGATCTTCACATTAATGCTCAGCCCTCTTCTCAGAATAGTATGCCCCAAAAGAAGAAATATGAATCGCACTTAGTAAATTTATGTGTAGAATTAGGCATTTCGATCTGTCAATCTTTGTGATTTTTTAAAAACGTGACATGATTTGTGCATGATTCAGGGAATGGAAAAGCTTAAACAAATAGCAGAAAAAGATTGGACCACTGTTCAACCACCACAATTGGAGCCGCTAAACCTCGACGATCCGAGCGGGACGATTCCCGACGTGGTAAGAAATTTGTAGAAATCTTAACTCTAAATATTAATCGTATTCCAATTTAAAGGAAATTGGAACAACAATACCTCCGGCCAGCAGGATACTTTCATCCGACTCCGAGGACCATCGCCACCTATGTCCTTGGTTGCATAATCTGCTGAATCGCTTCCGATAGGACGCGCTGTTAGATTCTCTACGACTTCAACATTCTTTATCTTGCCCTGCGTCACGTAATATATTTTTCATTCTGTTCAAATGCAAATGTTTCTTTAATTGATTATTAATAAATGTTCAAATAAAATAAGATCGGTTTCATACAATCACACATAGTAAAGAAAATATAGAACAAGAAAAATAAATAAAATAGAATTAACACTTCAATTTCTTGACTTCTTTTATCAGTGAAATATTCCCGAGTTAATGAGAACTAAGATTTGTTTCCCTGTGAGTGTGGGTAAAAGAGAGTAATTCACACCGACACCTTTGTCTAAGATTAGCTCCAGATAAATCGACTCGATCAAGCTTTACTTTGACAAATATTGAATCCACAAACGAACTATTACTCATATTTTCATCAGCCATAGATACAGAATCGAAATCTAATTGAACAACGCTCGAATGATCGAGATGAGTACCCAACAACGATACGCTTACAAACATGCACCCTCAACAGGGTGTGGGTATGAATGTGAGCTTGCTTGAAGAATGTAAGTAAGAGCCACACCAACATCCACACCCTCAAGATAACCGATCATCCCTCAACGTCAAATTTTCCTTCATGATCGCCATTATTGATAAGGTATTATCGATAAATAAAATGCATAACAATCTATCTACATCTTACCAGATTAAAGAATGCTCGATATTTATCAATAATTCAATTTATCAATCAGAATAAAAAAGAGATAATAGTCAAAGACTCTAAACACATTCGGATATGATCGTGAGTAAACGACGAATGTTATATGAGAAGTTAAAAACTCATGACAAATTTTAACTCAACATATTGATATTCTCATGTTCTAAAGATATAGAATTGGTAAAATAGAGCATGAACTTAATTTATTTGAAATAGCATTACTAAACATCATCAATACAGAAGAACGACAAATAAACGAACAAGTTTCAGTAGTAGTTCTTTTGCTATTCCATTGAAAAAAAACTTTGGGATCAGTACCTGTTAAAGTTCATTAAATCCTGATATCTCATCGTTTAAATGCTAATTATTCTTCAAATCCCAAAGCATTTGCATATAAAGATAGATACAATCTTACAAATAACTTTGTTTTTATTTTAGACATAAAAAAACAGAAAACATCCAATTTATTGACAAAAAAATACACGTTTGACTTCTTTTCGAAATGTTTTTGATATAAGTAAATATGCATAATATCCAACACAAAATGGAATATAACTAATAAAAGATCCTACCAGATTCAGAAAGACAGTGATCTGTGGTAAGCCAGTATTCTGTGCAACCTGGTAATATATAATAACAACTACCAGCATTGCATTACATACTATGTAAATAAAAATATCCGCAGTTACCATCAGAACAAATTGTCGATCTTTAGAATGAAAGAGTTGCTCGGAGTTTCGTGCTGTATTTCTAGTGTTCGTTGCTACAGGTGCAATGCGTCGTTGACGCACCTTTCTAATGTTTTTTGCAGTCCATATGGCAAAAATAATCATCAGCAAAGGCACTATAATTGCTTTGACAAACAATGAATAATAACCTAGGAAAACGACGTATCGACCTACTCGTGAGTAACATATAAAATAACCAGGTGCTATTTCTTGGATATCTGTTAGGAATAATGTATGACAATGAAACAACATCCAAAATAATGTTCCACAACTGACACAAATATAAGCTAAACGACGAGTGCTTTTTTGTCGCGTTAGAGCATTAGATGATGTGACTAAAACTCGATCGATTGAAGCTAAGATAAGATAAAATGCGCTGAGAATATCATTTAAATACAATATGTAATAGGAGAAACGGCACATAAACAGATTAGAGTCAGTTATATCTAATGCATAGCCAACTGATAATGTAGCGAATAATACTATTAAAATAATGAATAAGATGTTAGCGATATTCACTGCGATCAAATAGATCGAACATGGACTTTTACGTAGATTTTTCTGAGTGAAAACAATGAGATTGATGACACAACTGACAACACCACACACCAATAATATTGGACCACCGATTCGAAATAAATTTGTCTGTATTAATTCTAATGATGTGAGGAAACCGTCCGACGAAGACATGTTACTTTGAGAACAACTTTGATATATCTGAAAAATGTGTTTTTTACTTTGAAGCAGAACTTTGAAATGAAAGAGTAATAATAATGAATCGGATATAATTATTTGATTTAGTCATGTGCGAATAATCTGAAAGAAAACTAACCAAAATTCATTACGAACAAAGTACAGATATTTCTAATTATTTTAATGATAGTGTAAGGATGTTTGTCCCCTTTTGATTATTTCTTTTCATTCGGTGTATTGCTCTACTTTTTTTGCTTATGAGGAAATTTTAATTTGAAAACAAATGCTAAGAGATATTCAAATCGAATATGTCAAGTAATGCGGAAAAAGTAGATCTGAAAAATAAAAATTCGAAAAACAAATAAATTACCTCGAAAGGTTTTGTAGTGTGGGTATGGGTGACAGTGTTGGTGTGGAAAAAGAGTAGTTCATACTTATAAATCCCCGCTTACACTCACCCTCATTGATCCATCTACATTGATACCCACACCTTCAAGAAATAAGCTTATCAGATTCTCTCTAATATGTCTACACCTTTCAATTGTTGTGTCTTGTATGATTAATAAACTTCGAGTAAAAAATTTCCAGATTTTTCATCCTCCGGATTTCTTGACAACATCTTCAAATCATCTATGTGTAAATTCAACATTAATTAAGCAAACTATGTTATAATAATATATCATTTCATATGGTTTATCAATCGAATAATAAGAATACCTTGAAGACAATTTTTCTTATAAACAAGTAGGTGTGATGATGACAGAGTTCGACAACTAGAGAGAGTTAGAATATAGGTGAATAAAAGATTGATATACACATTGTCATTCTCACTTCTGAATAATATCAATAAAGCCACGTTGTTTAAATACAATAGTGAGAAAAAGAAAATGTTTATCTGTATATGATGATATCATATAAATAACAAATCTTCAAACTAGATATATAATAGCTGTATCTCTCATATTTTACTTCATTTTATTTGTCAGAAAAAGAAAGGTGGCTATTACGATGATGTTTTGGTTAAAGAGTTTCACAAGTCTTTTAGCTGTTCTAACTACATTAATTGTTGCTGATGATCCATGTCGATTTGAACATTCTAAAGGTATCATAGATTTAACATCCTTAGCTAGAACTGATGGAAAAGCAACTTATTCAGATCAAATACCATCAAGAGAATCTGATTATTGTACGTTGATTTTGTTGATATTCTAATAATTATTTTTTGATTATTTATTGAATATAGTGTATAGTTATAATCCATGTAACCCATTTTCAGAAGTAGGCGATTGTTTTGATGTAGCTGTTTATCAAAGTTCATTACTACTTTGTTTTCATTTAATAATAATCAAATGCCATCTATTTCAAGTGTTTCATTAGCAAGAATGGAGATACTTAAATATTTTTATTTATCCAACAATCTCCTAACAACATTGCCAGATTCACTCTATCTAATTAAAGATATGAAGAAACTCGATATTCAAAATAATAATTTCGATGCAAAAGAAAAAGCATGGATTGAAGGAATATTTCGAGTGACAAATACTACTGTTGGTGTTTGAGATGATGAATTTTGTTTTCTCGAAAAAGAAATTACTAATCAATGATTGATAAATTTAATAATTGATATTGTGATAGAAATATATATGTAATTGAAGAAATCTCGATTTCTACATTTTTGATGTTATCAATAGGTATGGATGAGATTACAAATTTGAGACAAATAAGTCATAGTCATCCTCAATAATGTTTATTTTGCATTTTAAAATTATTTCGATATGCTTTGCAAGTATGATTATTTGATAGATATGGATTGATAAGTCCGTATTTTTTAATTAGGATAGAAGGATGATAATTAACAGTATTTCTTTCTATTCGAGTGTCTATGATATTTTACTTGATTATGATGATAATCTCAATATATCTTCATTCACACATATTTTCTTATTAATCAACATCTTACAAAATAGGTTCAATACTTGCAAATTAGGGGTAAGAATTTATTGTTATTGTTATTTGTTATAAATAAGTTAGCATATAAATAAAACATAACTTTTATCTATGAAAAATATCTTTTCTCGCCTCATTGTATATTTTAATTGTGCCCGTTATGTAAACTCACACTTTCGAACAAATTTTCTATATCTATACTACTATGATTTATATTGTTCAACCAAGATATAAAGCTAGTTGAATATTCAAAAAAACAAAATTATTGTTATAAATTACAATAATAATAAATTCTCATCCCTACCCACACCTGCACGCACACCCTTGTTAGTATTCATTATATCCTGATATTTTATCCTTTGAATGTTGAATATTCTTGAAATCCTGAAGCATTTGTGTGCTACCATAATGGTTCTTCGTTTGATGATCAATCGACAGAAAAAAGTCTTCAATTATCTTTTGTTGTAAAAATTCATCATCAATACAAATTGTTAGAAAGCATCAGTTGATGATAAAATAATGTAATCTTACGAATAACTTCATTTTTATTTTAGATAACAAACAAATATTCACCAAATAACTATACAGACTCAACAACAACAGAAAAAGAAAACATTCAACTTATTGACAAAAAAGTAAACGTTTCACTTCTTTTCGAAATGTTTTTGATATAAATAAATATGCATAACATCCAATACAATATGAAATATCAGAAAGAAAAGATCCCACTAAACTCAGAAAGATGCTAATTTGTGTTAAACCGGTATTTTGTGCAATTTGGTAATATATAACGACAACGAACACCATGGCATTACATGCTATATAGATAGAGATATCCACAACTACCATCAGAACAAATTGTCGATCTTTGTAGTGAAACGGTTGTTCGGAGTTCCCTGCTGTATTCCTAGTGTTCGTTGTTACAGGAGCAATACGTCGTCGACGCACTTTTATAATGTTTTTTGCAGTCCATATGGCAAAAATAATCATCAACAAAGGAACTGCAATTGCTTTGACGAACAATGAATAATAACCCATGAAAACGACGTATGGACCTGTTCGAAAATAGCACGTAAAATAACCGGGTGCTATTTCTTCGATATCTACTAAAATTAATGTATGACAATGAAACAACATCCAAAATAATGTTCCACAACCGATACAAATATAGGCTAAACGACGTGTACTTCTTTGTCGTGTTCGAGCATTTGATGATGTGACTAACACTCGATCGATTGAAGCTAAGATAAGATAAAATGGACTGAGAATATCAAATAAATACGTTGTGTAATAGTAGAAACGGCACATAAGGAGATTATATGTAGTAAGATCTGTGTCATAGCCATATGTTGATATAAGGAACAACACTGATAAAGTAATAAATAAGAAATTGACAACATTCACTGCTATCAAGTAGATGGAACATGGACTTTTACGTAGATTTTTCTGAGTGAAAACAATCAGACTGATGATACAACTAATAACACCCAATAGCATTAATATTGGACCACCGATTCGAAATAAATTCTTCTGTATTGTTTGTAACGATGTGAGAAAACCATTCGACGAAGACATGTTACTTTGAGAATAACTTTGATATATTTGAAAAATGTGTTTTTTTCTTCAACGCAAAACTTTCAAATGAAAGAGTAATAGTAATATGTCCGATATAATTGTTTGATTTTGTCATGTCGCAATAATGTGAAACAAAAATAATCACAAGTTTCATGAACAAAGCATAGATACTTCTAATTATTTTAATGAGAAGGTAAAGATGTTTCTCCTTTTCTTATAATTTCTTTTCATTTGATGTATTGCTCTATTTCTTTTTTAATTATCATCCCTTTTTATTTTTGTTTTTTTATTCTCTCTGATTCTGGAGTTTATAAGTGTATACTTTGTATGAAAATGATACGATTCGAGATAAAAAGAAATATAAAGTGTAATGCCATCGGTAGTAACCTTTCTTTTATCAGAAACTGTCATATAGAGTAAATTTAATTGTTATTTTGAACTATAGAGTTTAACATGTTCTATAAGAACGTAGTTTTCTTTAAAACAGATCTACTCGAATTTATATAAAAAATACAAGTTAGTAATAGTCATTCTGCCGTTATTGATTAGCGTACGACATAACTCTTTGAATATCGTGAAACACATTATGAAGACTTTATCAATCTATAGATGCATTTCAAAGTTAGTGTAAAGCATGGAAACTAAAACTACAATCATCAAAAATAGAAGTGATTCACTTTAGTATGTATTCATGAAAGAAAGAAAAAAATTTAGTAACAGTAAAAGTAGGAGACACATTTATTAAATCACTGGATTCAGCAAGATAATTGTGTGTGAGGGTTTGGAGCTCCATTATTCATTCATATCCATATGCACCCGTGGTTATTGCAAAACTAATAATAATTGGTGAAGGATGTGCTGTAACAATAAAAATAAAATTCAAATTCAGACTCATTTCAATATTGAAATATTAAACATATTCAATATGAGCACATTTTTGCTTACGAAGTGGATGAGTACTTTCTTTTTTATATATCATTTAATATAAACTTATAGTTAATGGTACGAAACTTCTCTTTACTTTCACATTTACAATCGCAGTCTAATTTCAGTCGAATATATCCAATGCTCATAAGTTATAGTACACAACTCTCCATATGTTTGTGCAATATTAGTTGCATAATATTGTTACCATTTTTTTAAAGAAAATAATTAAGCACATAAGAAAGCGTTGAAACAGTATTGAATTTCTATTTAATGAAGATTATACCGTACGCTTCTTGATTTTTAAACGATACAAAAAAGCACCATCTGTCAATTAAGTATACTGAATTAGAGAAGTGAGAAGAAATTCTTCTTTCGACACTTTCGCTCTGATTAGCAATGACAATTATAGTGAGTATGGGTGGTACAAGTGCTGTTTTAGGTTGCATTGTATACCGCCACAAAATAATGTGATAAAATATAGTATCTATCTATTTCATTGCAAATCATGTTAGCATTTTTATGATGATGATACAAAATATCATACATTTTCCAAACATGGTACAAAGTCTAGTCTATTTTATGTTCTGTATTATACTGATTTTTGTATCTGCAATAATAATGTCATTATAATTCTTATCATGTCAAAAAATTTTATTATTGTATTCAGAACAATCTAAATAACATCGATTTGATTAAATTTATTAAAAACTACGATAAATGAGACTTTTTTTTGTTTCATTTTAATACATTCCTTTTTTTTCGTAGGTAGAAAGCAGGGAGAGATTTCATTTCTACACCGTTACGTGAACTATAAAATGATGACGTGCATGAAAAAGGAATGAAGAGCAAATACAAATTTGTTTAAATAAATATGTGAAGGCGTGCATCGCTATTGACGTCATCACTAAATAATAAATACCTGATTTTTTTTCTATACTATACTTTATTTAAATAAAAAATATTTTTTGTCGATGGAAGCGATTTACATATTTCTAACATCGCTTGTTATAATTACTACATGTTCAGCAAGAACTTATTCAAGTAGCAGTAGTTCTGACGGTGCCTTCTCGACTGGTGCGATTGTAGGTATTGCATTGGGTGCTGTCGCTTTTTTTACGCTTCTTGTAGTATTCATCGCCTGTATGAAAATGAAACAAGCGAAAGCACGAAGAATAAATGCCATTCCTACAGCAATGCAAATGGCGGCTTTAGCTCAAGAAGAAAATCGATATAAGCCACCAGGTAGTGTTCAAGTACCATCCTATAATCAACCACCACCGTATAATCAAGCACAACCATCAAAAATGACGCCGGTTTCATGAGACACATTTTTTATATGAATAAGTGCTCAATAAAGTCAATTATGAATGTATTATCATGTGAAAAAAATTCAACTGAATCATAAATTTTACAAATAGGAACTTTAAAATGATTTGAAACAAACTATGGATTTTTATTACAACATTTTCTATTTAAATAAATTTTTCTGTCTACATCGCTCTTGTTTGATTATTTAATTGTGTATGTTATAAAATTAAAGACGTAGTATAGATTATTAATAAAATATAAAGAAATTGATAGCGATTTTTTTTTATTTTTCTATCATTGCATGTCAAAGCAAACTCTCGCAACAAATAAAATTTTTTTCATCTCACATCTGCATCCTACAGTGCTAAAAAATAAATAGAGGTATATGATTATGAACGAAGTTTAGTGCAATAACGTGAGTATGTGAGATGATTTTGATGTTCGTACAAATGTAAATAATATTATAGATTCATGTTACCTTGGATTAGAAGTTTAGAGTGTAAACGTGCGTCAGCAAATATATTCATGCAGTTTTTTTTTCTTTTCTCTGCGTGGAGACACGTGTTCGTCATTGTTAAGGTTTTAAAAGATTTTTTACTGTCTATTACACAAAGAAATGGTCTATTGGCAAAAAAGTACGTCATTTTTCTATTATGTATTATACGACAACGCGTAGAAAAATGCACCTCATCTTGAACTTAAACTAGATCTATTGTTGGTTTTGTGAAATTTAAACTTATGTTTTTAAATAAAGTCACAATTTTGTCAATCGATTTAAGTTGTAGATGAACTAGAATACCCATACTTTGAAGATGTTACTTGATTATGATTTATTATTTGCAGAGAAAAGTTTCGGATTCAAAAGATGTTTGATCGACTAGCGAGTTATGAAAAAAATAGTTTATAATGAAATAATTTTTAGCAGATAGACGAAAGTTTGTTATTAATCGACTTGTGTACCACGACAGATTGGACATTGACTTGAAGTATAAAGACGATAAAAAAATGGAATTAGTTTCAGCTAGAAAAAAAGAATTTTTTATCGAATACCTTTAACCATGGATCAATACATTCAGCATGAAATAAATGTTCACATCGTAAACGTTTGGTAGTTTCATCGTTTTTATATTCACTTAAACAAATTGCACATTTATCATCTTTAGTTTTTGATTTTCGATAAGTCATTGTTGGTATGCGTTCAATACTATTATTGGATAGACCCACAGATGGTGTTTCATCACTATAACCAAGTAAACCGGGTACATTCTAGAAAGAATTAAATCGATTCGATAGATTCGAATAAAAAACTTACAAAAAATTGAAGACGAAGATTAGTAGGATTAACAAAAACACTGTTACCGAATGATGAATCATCACGCACACCAAAAAAATCTCTAGATAAAAAAGCAGATTCTATTTTAAAAGAAGCATTCATAAAAAAAGATACGAACCGTAGAAGATTATGTGGAAAATTTGGTTGATGATCTAAACCACGAGGATGTCGTACATATGAATAATAATTAGGAGCTTCTAATCGATATCGTCGATGCGGTCGATCATTTGATGAATTTGAATGTCTATTGGAATGAGAATATTCTCTATGATATTGATGAAGTGGAGAAGAATTTCTGTCTCGATTAGATTGATGAATAATATCTCGTAGTGTTGGGAGAACATTTTGTTGAAAGGAATTATCTTGTGGTTGAGAAAATTGATTAATTATACGAAGACGAAATGATCCATATGGATCATCGAAATATTCATGTGCCATATAAGTAATCTCTCTATAACTAGTGGATATAATTGACGTATTTTAACTGTGAAAACACATTTATACGATTTACAAAACGGAAGTACACGTCATACAATATTACATACTTTTCCAACTATGAGTCATACAAAAATTAGAGGATTCGTCGAATAAATTATGCTGATATGAGACAATATAGTAAGCAGTTATCGACATCTGTCTTTTTATTTTCTTTCTTTTAAACCTTATACCGTAAAAGAACAAATAAGATGTAGCTTAGCAATTACTACATGCTGCTTTTAAGTAATCTAATTAATATTTTGTCCGTTTTATGCCATTGATAAAGAATGCGCTCTGAGTGTAGTTGTCTGATTTGTAATCGAAAAATATGGTATGTCATTTGTTTGCTATCAAATGAATTAGTCATAAAATGATTATGTCTTTTGTTGTGATTTGGGCAAATAATTACAATTTAGAAGATAAATGTACTCGTCAATATTTATCTATAGTTAATAACGGATTTAAATGTATATATATATATACTAACGCAAACGATTATACTTCATTCAATAACAACAAATTGATTATCATCCATAGTGATCAATCATGAACAAGATTATTCTTATTGTAAGTGTCGTTTTTATTTGAAAAAAAAGAATGAATAATCTAATCAGTATGATATTTAATAGTTCTGCCTAATGTTTGGCCTTGCCAAATCGCTCGACTTTTCTGATACATCAGCAGTGAACAATGCAATTGCTAATGTATGCAACGCTATCTCAGCACGCCCAGGTCCAGCTGCTGCTATCATTGATCGAATGCAAACAGCGTTAAACGAACGTCAACAAAAAATACAACAGCGCTTACCGCAAACATTCACTTATATTACTAATCAACAAAACAAGGATAAACTAAAAGCAGGTGGTGACAATTGCAAAAACTATTTTAATGGCTTGAGAACTCCATTAATGATCGATTTACAAAATAATAAAGAAATGCTTCAGTTCATGCAACAAGTATTTGAACAACGTATGAACGATTTCATCAATGAAATTCAACAACAGTCCGGCTGAACAACATTCAATTTATTATGAGAGAAAACTTTGCATGCTTGTGTCTAGTTAACCCACTGTTTCAGTTTTCTTTCAAATACATATAAGATTTATAAACTATTTTCTGGGGAAATATATTTCAAATTCTCATAACATAAGAAAAGTAGCGTGTGTGAATCAGATGAAAATTTTATAGACAATTATTTTTTCAAATAGACATCAATGAAAAAAAATACATAAAAGCAATTAAAAACGATATATTCCATTGAATATTTTTTTGATTAATCCCATGATTGCACAAGTGCTTATTACAACAATTAATCTTCAAATCAGCTACTCGAATAGTACTTGTATTTCCAACAATATCACTACTATTAAGTCCTCGTGGACATCCATTTTCATTACCTTTTCTTAAAGTAAATCTGTTATTGTCACTAAGTTTACCAACTATTTTCTAGAATGATTTCAAATTAATAATTATTTGTTCTATGTCTTCAAATATATCAATACATACCACACAAAGTGAATCAGAAGTTGTTACAGAATCTACTTTAATTGATGTTCCATTGGTATTGAATGGATCATGACAATTAGTTGTATTTTGCCCAACATTTAAACATGAATAGCAATCCAAACCATTGATATAATGATTTCCTAAGAAAATAAAAAATATCAATTTTTGAGTTTTTTTTTTCTCAAAATTTTCTATAGACCGATATTGAAGATTAATATAATAAAACAAAATAAAGTAACTTGCATGTTGTCGAGATTGAAAAAGAAGGATGAATGCTAGAGGACGTATAAGCACTTCATATATGATTGAGAATATATGAATATTGACATTTGTGTAATGGATATGCTTTTATTGAGAACGCTTTTAATTGCATCTACTGCTTCTTATTTTACAAAAAAGAAAAATTTAACGTCAACGATTCATTTTCTTATGTTTATCGCAATTTAATACAAAATAAATAGTAAATAATATATTCAATTTTAATAATAAACCTTCTAATTCTAAAAAAATCATTATTTTATATTATTGATGAACAGGATAATATTGGAAGCGTTTACTTGACAAATGAATCTATAATCCCGAATATGGGTACTTCGAATCTGTTATGTAGTTTGATATTTTTCTTCTACTAGCTCTGAAATCACTAAATCATCTTCAAATCGTTTGTAGAGAATCCTGTATTTTCGTTTATTTGTTTTGCTACAAACTTATAAATCCTTTCTTAATTCTGTATGACGATATTTTTATTTTTAGTATAGATGTTAAAACAAAACTTTGACTTGCTCTTATTTTGTGGAATATTATTATACATTTTTAATAAATTCCTTTCATAATATATTATTATAAGCCAGGTAAAGTCATTGCATAATCAAAATGTGCTATCGTTTTATTTCTTTTGCTCGTTCTGTTTTCCTTTTCTTTCATACGATTGAGAAATTTGAATCAGAAGAATGAATCATCTTCCTATCGTGGGGTATAAAAGAGCGTTGCCGCGATGCATTTTTTCACTTTTACATTTTCATAGTAGTAGTTATATATGCTCCGAATAAAGCACGAGAAAGCGAATACTTACCAGGATGAGATAAAATATGTTCCTTTAAAGAAAGTAAATATCAAAGCTGAGCTTTATTCATTTGCAGCTGATGTAACTATAACACAAGTGTTTCGAAATGATGAACAAATACCTATTGAAGCAGTCTATTGTTTTCCAATAGAAGAAAAAGCGGCTGTCTATTCATTTGTAGCTCATATTGATGATCGTGAAATAATTGCTCAGTTGAAAGAAAAGAAAGAAGCACAACAGGAATATGACAATGCTTTACAGCAAGGTCATGGAGCTTATTTATTGGAACAAGATGAACAAACAAAAGATTGTTTCATTATAAATATTGGTGCATTAAATCCATCAAAAGAATGTATCATTACAATTGCTTATGTAACTGAATTAGAACTTGTCCATGAATCTACTATACAGTTTGTCATTCCGACAACTATTGCTCAACGTTATAATCCTGATACGAAAAGTATCTCATTGCCGGCAAATACAAATTGCAATTATATTCAATCAAGTTCATGTACGATTGAATTGATTTGTCGAATTAAGAAAATCGATGGGCCTAATCAACAACAAATTGCTCGTGTAAATTCAACTTCACATCCGATTGAAGTTGATATTACACAACAAGATGCTTATGTAATTACATTTGCACAAGAAAATACTCATTTAGATCGAGATATTTTAATTAATATTGTATTAGCTGAGCAGCATCAGAATACGATTGTTGCTGTTGAACAAGGTGCTATAATGGTTATATTTACTCCTGCTGAGCAAGATTATTCGCATCAGACATTGGATAATGAATTCATATTTGTTATTGATTGTAGTGGATCAATGCAGAGTGAAAATAAGATTGAACTTGCTCGGCAAGCCATGTTAATATTTCTGAAAAGTCTTCCTGTAAATTGTTATTTTAATATTGTTCGATTTGGATCCAAGTACAAATGTCTTTTTAATGAAATGACGGCTATATATAATGAAGAAAATGTTCAACAAGCTGAACAACTTATCAATTCGATGCAAGCTGATTTAGGTGGCACTGAATTAGTAAGTATTTTTTTTATTGGCTTTATATTTCTCTATTAGAATTTCTTTTTAAATAAAGCTTGAACTATTAAAATGGTTTGAACAATATCCACCTGTTCAAGATCGTGCTCGTCAAATTTTTCTTCTAACCGATGGCGAAATTAATGATGTTTCACAAGTAATCGATTTGTGTCGATCGATGGCATCATCAACGAGAATCTTTTCATTTGGCTTAGGCCATTCACCTAGTCGATCTTTAGTCAAAGGTCTTGCTCGATCAACTAATGGTCAATTTGTTTTTATTTCACCGAATACGAATGTTGATATTTATGTTGGCGAACAATTGAAAAAAGCCCTTCAACCATGCATTGCTAATGTTCATGTTGAATGGAATTTAGAGAATAAAGTACAAACTGCTCCAACACAATTACCTCCTGTCTTTGTCAACGATCGGCTTATTATCTATGGTCTTGTCGAAGATGAAACGATTCAATTCAATCATAATTCTTCTATTGAACTAATGGTTAAACCGAATAATCAACGATTAGCTATGGCTCAAATTAATCGAATACCAAGCGTAACTCATAATGGAACGATTATTCGTCTTGCTGCTAAAGCACTCATTCTTGAATTACAGCATGAGAAAACGTCATCTTCATTACAAAAGCGTTTTGATGATGTATCAATACCGATAGATGAAACAATTGAAACAGCAGCAATAACAAAGAAACGAATCATCGATTTGTCTCTTAAATATAATATTTTAAGTCCATATACTGCTTTTATTGGCGTTGAAAAACGAACAAATATGAGCAATGCTGAAATGATTCTTCGTGAAGTACCTATTCAGATTTCAGTCGACGATCAACACCTACAAACGTTTCAACCGTCATACTCTAATAGTGGAGGTAATCTCCACAAACTTGTATTGAGTAATTAATGTTTATTAAAAAAATGTTGATTTAGGATTTTCACCGAGATGTGCGCTAACTTCGCCAGGATACTGCTACTCGCCATTTTCACGGAGTTATTCACAAACTTCACCACAATACTCGCCGTCTTCACCGAGTTATGCACCAACTTCACCATTTTATTTTCCCACCTATAATACTTCTGTAACATTGAATAACACGAATGAAGTAGACAATGTGTTAGAAATGCAAGACACACTCGGCGATAGTTCAGTAACACAGAGCAGAAAGAGAAAAAGGTGTGAAACAGAAGTAACATGGCCCGATGATGATCGAGACATAGTTCGTCGTTTGATTATGGAACAAAAATTCGATGGTCTTTGGAATCTAGATATTAAAAGTATTGAACACTTGACTGGAAAATCATTCGCTACCTTTCCATTAGTCGATTTTCAAATTAATATGCAAACACTTATTTCAGCCATTATTATTGCATTGTTTGTAACACGTTTTGCAGTATTCGTATCTCTTTGGCACGGTGTTGTACGAAAAGCTCGAGCACGTCTAAATGATTTGTTCGAGAAAGACTCAAATAAACTAAACTTATTGCTTGATAAGATTAATAAACAATTATGTGAAAACTAATCACAATTGATTTTAAGAAATAAAAATATATATGTATTTCTTTCATACTACAATTCTTAGAATCTTGCATACAGGTGTAGAGAAAATTTTTTATTCAGGCAATCGGATACTTCAGCCATTTAGTTTATCCAGAATCATTTTACTATTTTCGACTCATACTGAAACACTAATTCTCAAAAAGTTATGTTCACTCATACGACATTCATCGATCTATCTACTAAGTTTGCAATCTCACACCAGAAATAAGTAACAAGTCGTTTTTATGAAATACTATTCCGTATGCGCCATGTTAGGGTGTGGGTGCGCGTGACTTGTTCTTCCATATACCCACACCCACACTTACCCTCAAGAATGGACATCATATTTTTTATTTTTTATTTTTCATTTATTATTGTAATAACTGATGACCATCAGGTCTTAACAGTACAGGGGATAAGAAAAAAAGGTAAACAAAGAATAACAATAATAAGAGAAAATAATAGAAATAAGTAGGAGAACAAAAGAAAAACAAACAGAAACAATTAAGAACTAAAATATAAAAAAACAGCAAGTTAATGAAAAAGAAAAGACTGAGGAAAAATACGGGTGAGTTGAATCTCTTCCATATCATTGAAAGACACAGAAGAAAGAGAAGAATTGGAAGAAATCCATGAATGGACATCATATTCTAATGATATATTGTCAATTATTGAAAAAGCTTACGAAGAGCGCTTAGAAAAAGTATATACTAACAAAGATTATTGCACTAATCTAAAATACAATGTATAATGTCATATCAATGATCCGTTTCGTGAATGACCCGTCCGACGACTAGGAAATCATCTTCTTCTGATGATCTTTGTCCTTCTTATTCTTGTGATATTGATATAAATTTGAAGGTATGCCACCAATATATCTTCCAAGAGCAAAACCAGCAAAACCAAAGGCTACGCTCAAAAGAATGTTGATAAAAGGAATGGGAATTAATAAACCTAATGCGCCTCCTATCAATGAACAGCAGGCGGTCAGCCCATTAGAAACAATTGATTGAATAACTCCTTTGACAAAATTCGCCAATTCAATAGCAAGACCAATAGCCAAGGCTTTTGTTCGCTTCAGACCTTCAGTTGTTAAATAGATTATATGCCGAACAGAGAGAAGCGCTATTTCAACGAAACAAGCGATTCCAGATACGATACCAGCCACTAGAAAGAAATGTTTAGATTTGTTTGCATCTATAGAAACTACTTATATCGTTAGGTTTCTCTTAATGATAAAATTGGTTATGTTTTTCTATCTGAAGTTTTTACCAAAAGAGATTCAAGAATCGTAAGATTCAACCGAGTCATATTCTAATTCGTAGACACTTACCAGGACCTGCAATACGAATAAAACTTTGCAGAGCTTGTTGAAAGGATGCACCGTTAACTACAACTTTTAGGATTGGTTGACTAAAACCTTTCATAGAAGGAAGTATGCTCTCGATCAAGTCTATAATAAATCATATTCGTTGCTTTACTATTGGAAAGGAAGATTACTCAACACCACTTACATTTCCATGCTGCAGTGTTATCTAATGTATGCCATGCAGCAGTCACCGCGGCACTTGAGGCTACATTCAACGTAGCTTGCCATTGTTGACTTCGGTAATCTAAATAGTGAGTTAAAAGAGTGAAACTTTTCATAGAATATCATAACAACTATCTCGAATATATGGTGGAGAAAGATGGATGGAATGCTGTTTTCCATGAATAGATATAGCGACACTTCAGGAACTTTTTCATCATCCCCATATAGAACGTGATAGTTAATCTATGTGGACTTTTTCTAAAAGACTAACCTGGTAATTGATTTTGCTGTTTATAACGATGAATCAATGTTTCATCTGTTGAACAAGCAAAGGCAAAATGTTCACAATTATGAAAAAGAAAGTCGTATTCGCCCATATGAGATTGACGGTTTGGATCTGTGTTATCGATTGATAAAAATAAATATCATTATAGCTTTTGCCAAAAGCATTTTTACTCACCTGCACAATGATACAAAAACAGTGCATTCTTGACAATATCGTCAACTGGTAGAGAATCTTGAAAGTGGCATTTACCACGCATTTTCATATCATTGCAAAACACATCAACTAAATTGTTACGCCTATATTGAACTCGTTGTATAAGATAATTACTGGCAAAATAAGCAAGAGTTACAATTCGAATACATGGTGAATCAGTTCTATTATTCTCAATAACCATCAAATCTTGAATAATAGGTATCGGATGAGTTCGATGGCCTTCTTCAGGAACATCCGATCTTCCAATAATAATAGCATGATGCTGATACAAAATGCCTTTACGCCAAGCATAGATATGATCACCACGTCGCAGTTCATTCGTTTCAACCGCATGCGACCATTCATATCCTCTGCTCGTTGAATTGCGTTCTAAAACAAGTTAGATTCATATTATTCAAGGAAATGACTAGGATTTATATTTTGTTATTCAATAGTAGAAGTGATTTAAGTCAACATGATGAGCTTGATGATTATGTTCCACTGAATAGTCAATAATAATCAAGAAACAAGAGTTCATTCTCTGTTAGATTACATATATTAATTTACCTTTTGTTATACCTTGCACTGTTACTTGAGCAGAAGATGAATTCTGTTTGTCATCGAAAGATAATTGAGGATCAACGCTGTTTAAATTGAATGATAATGCCCAATCCTTTGCATAAGTTGTAGAACATATGTATGAAAAGCGTTTATATTGTTCACCAAGCAAAGTTTGTAATTGATCACCATAATCATCTATTGATTGGCTTAGTAGATACAGAAGCAACGCGTTTTCAGCAATCGCATCGATGGGAACCTGTTGTTGTACATAACTAGTTCCCTCTAGCTTGATATGATGCAGAATATTTTCTCCTTGATTATAACGCACACGGCGAAGTTTTAGCTCAGGACCTTGAAATTCGTTTAATGTAACAAGACGAAGTTGAGGAAAAGATCCATCGGGCTGTACTACGTCATTTGTGACAACCATCCATTGTTCACTATTATTCCAGTCTTGTCCAGGTACTACAATACCTTCTTTAGACATGGTGAATCCTAATCCTGCTCGAACATAAATATGATCACCAAGAGTAATCTCCGACATTGAAATAACATGATCCATCGCTATATCTAGAAGATCCATATCGCTTTAGTAGGTAATAGATTCAAGTTTTTTTTCTGGAGTAATTGACATGACTACAGTTTATCAGTATGATGATAAGAGAGAAGTCATTAGGATCCTGAGGGTGAGGATGTATTTTGGGTGTCTCCAAGGTCAGTGTGAGTGAATAACTGAATTCAATTTTCATGTCTGCCACTACTGCTATAGCCACCCCTCAAAAAAATGATGATGTGTTCTTTGACACTACAAAAGGTGATTTCGAAGTGCCAAAATATTTTAACTTCAATGATACTTGGAAATGTAGAAAAATCAGTAATTATTATATTCTATAGCTTACCAAGGTTATGAATAAATAATTGTTTTTCTTGTCGATGTTGTTTATTGTCTAGAAAAATTTGTGTGTACATACATAAGTTTTGTCTCTACCAATTATATACTTGTTCAGTTGGAATAATCCATAAAAATAAAAAAAAACTATTATTATTTTTGTCCCTTTTCTCTTTCTCTAGGACAAATATACGTCATTAGCTGACATTCTGCTGCTATGACTTTTCGATGTAAAAAACAAAAACTATTATTATATGATTCATTTGTGCATAGCATGCGACAAAAGTTGCTTTACCATAAAAGAATTTGAATGTTTACACTATGATTCAAGCAAACGAGCACGTTTTCGTACCAAAAATAAAGACATATTCAGATTTTAAATCGACGTAGAGAAATTTAATTAGAATCTTTGCTAGTTAACATTGTTGATCTCAATACAAAAAATATATATATTGAATAAAAGAATCTGCTTTTGGAATTTATACATGTCTCTATCTACAGTAAAAAATGAGCCCGTTTGGTTGAGCTGAAGTGTAAATACTCAAATTGTTTCATAATAATTCTTTTTTCTTTCTTTTGTTTATTTGCATTTCATTCGATATGAAACAAAGCAGTTATGTAGTTGTTTTTGTGAGTTTCTTTTTCTCTGTATTTCCATAAAAATTGCATATTTTGTAGTGCAGTGATTGAGAGTGTTACTTTATCTTTGTTTTTCTTTAAATAAAGAAATATACTTTTTATTGTCTTGGAGTAGCTTACGAAAAATTATGATATTATATAGTTAAATGTAATATGAAATAACGTTTTTCGTTACTTAACGTATTCTCTTGTTAGACAGGGGCATTCGCACATGTACTTCTTGCATGAAAAATATATCTTTATTCTTTTTGTGAACTTTATTTCTGCAAATTAAGATAAAGTAAAACGCCTAGTACTGATTTCAAGAATGAAAAATCAGAAAATTCACATCACAACTGATTAAAACTCTAATGTCATCTAGTTTCTTTTGATTTTTTTCAGACTTCTTCAATGTATATGTTATCGTCAATACATTTTCGATGAATTATAAACAAATCTAATGTTCATATTTTATTAAAAGATTACTTATGTATTGATTCAATGAAGTATATGAACAAATAACAAAATATATCTTATATTAAGTATCTTCATTCACTCATATTCTAAATAAATTTTATATATGAATTAGAAAACAAATATCACGGATGCTGTATTGAAAATATTTGTCTGTTTGAAATTGTTCGTTGACTATTTATAATTACAAGTTTATATAAGTTTATTTTTATAATGAAAAAATAGAAGAAAACAATTCTTTGAATATACTTCCGTTTTTTTTAATTAGAATTTTACGCTTCATATTTACCGATTATTATAAAAGCGTATGTTGGAAAGTTTATTACTCAATAAATCGAAATATTTTGTAAAAGCAATATTTTTTTACCAATATTTAGAGGTGTGTTTTTTTGTATTAATTTATGTTACAGGTAAAAATCCTATGCGTTACTTTCGAGTAGACGGAAAAGAAAAAGGGAACTATCTCTTTTAGTTTGATAAACACATTAAGTTGGAAAAAACCCCGAAGCTTTCATGCATAACCAGACAGACGTGTGACTGTATTATTTTATCGTACAGGTGATAATTATGTATTTTTATTGCGTTCTTGATAACAGAACGGAAAAAAGCTTGTACATTTATTGAAAGAAAAGATTGCTACTCTTATCATTAATAATTATTGTGTATCGTTAGTTAGTGTCACAATGAGCAATCAGTTGATACCAATGGATGAAGTAATCACAGAAAATATTCCTGTTATTGATCAAGAAAATCAACAAAAATTCCTCGAAATAGCTATTCGTCGACTTATTCGAAAACTTGATAGACGACTTCTTCCATATCTATATCTCCTCGAACTAGCATCATATATCATTCGAACTAATATTGGTAAGAATATTTCATTTAAACTATTCATTATTAAAAATATTCTTACAGGTCATGCAACACTAATGGGTATTAATGATGATCTACATTTATCACAATCTCAAAGTGAATGGGCAGTTTCACTCTATTTTCTAGCCTATGTAAGAAAATTATATTATTCAATTTTGTAAGAATATTTTATTTTAGTTAATATTTGAAATGCCTAATATACTTCTTATGCGATATCTTGGACCAGCTCGTTATCTACCATTGAGTATGCTTGCATGGGGTGGTATTACTATTGGTATGGCTTTTGTTAAAAATGCTCAAGCACTACTTCCTCTTCGATTTTTTCTCGTAATTAACTAAAATCTCTATAAATAATATAATATTTTTATATTTTTTTTATTGAAGGGCATTGCTCAAGCTGGTTATTTTCCTAGTATTATTATATATATTTCATTGTGGTATCGTAAACGAGATCATACAATGAGAATAGGTATTATTTATAGTGCTGCCATTATTTCTGAAGCATTAAGTAGTATTATGGTAAGTATTTAGAGATATTTTTAGAAATATAATATTTATCATTGATCTAGGCATATGGTTTTAGTAAAATGAATAATGTTGGTAGTTTACAAGGTTGGCAATGGATGTTTTTATTTGAAGGTTTACCAATGATTCCGCTTGGTATTATAACTGGTCTTTTTCTTAGTAATATACCTGATACTGTACAATGTAAGAGTTTTTAGCGATTAGTAAAACATATTCGAAGTTATTTGTTTTTAAATTAAGGGTTGAATATTGCTGAAAAACATCTCCTAACAAATATTCTTCGAAATGATACAATCATAACTAATAATCCAGACGCTCACGTTTCTTGGAAACAAATTCTTCATGTTTTTACTGATCGACATATCTATTTGTATGCATTGATAAGTATGGGTAATTTAGGTATTATTAAATATCTATCAACATCTCTCCCATCAATTGTACAAGATATGGGTAGTTCATCTGAAAATGTACATTTAATGACAGCACCACCTTATGTTTTTGCATTTCTTGCTTGTTTATTAGTTAATTATTCAGCATCACGAAATAATGAACATGGTTTTCATTTGATATTTGGTCTATCTTTTGCTCTACTTGGTTTTATTCTTACGATTACTTTGAATAGTCAAAGCCATACAGCATTATATATTAGTAGTTGTATAACTTGTTGTGGTGTATTCTCAGCGTTTCCTGTATTACTTTCATGGGCAACTAAAAATGTTGATGGTCATACTAAAAAACCAGTCACTCTTAGTTTTATTATAGGTATTGGTCAACTTGGTGGAATTATATTACCTCTTGTAAAAATTACTATTATAAATATTGTATAAGAATTATTTTCAATCTTTTACTTTTAGACGAATGATAATAAACCAACACGCGGACGTAATGATTATATTTGTCTTGGAGCGCTTGCTGCTAGTTTATTTTTTACAATTATTCTACGTATTTCATTGATGATAGAAAATCGTCGACGAAGTAAATTATCACCAGATGAGTATAATAATGAAACGTCTATCAAAGAACCTTGTGATTGGGTAAGTTTATAAAAAGATTTTCTTCTTATTTTAATATCACTATTCTCTTATAGCATCCCGATATACGTTATGCTTTGTGATACATCAACATCATTTTATAGTTGAAAAGTATAGATAGTTTTATAATTTAATCAACAATAAAATTTTATTGAATAAAAAATATACTTTAAAATTATCTTTTAAAGAAACATTGTATTATATTGAAGAAGATACGTTTTCAATGGTATATTTGTACAATTTTTCTTCCATATTTTTCAGATAAATTTCTCATATATATCTTCAACAATTGCTGATCACTATGTTCGTAGAGTGATTTCGAAATTATCGGTGCATTATCATAACAATATAAAAAATTATAAAGCCAATTTAATTGGATATGGCATCATCAGTAGAAGAAGAACTTCAGACTGGTTTTATATGGGAATGGAAAACAAATATTGATCCATGGAGTGAAACACAAACCGAAGAATGGACACCATATTCTGGCGATATATCATCAGTCATTGAAAAAGCTTACAAAGAACGTTTAGAACAAGTCTCTATTAACGAAGATTATTGTATTAGTCTGAAAGACAGTGTGCAATTCTGTAAAAATGATACATTTCGTCAACGACCCGTTCGAAGACGAAAGGAACATCTTCCTTTGATGACCTCCATTGATGCGAAGATCGAAGGTCAATCAATGCTCCATAAAAGACTTTCATCCCCATTGGGTGTACCCGAACGTTGTAGTGTAACTGGAGATACAACTCATTATGGTTCAACATTTATTCAAGAGTGGTTATTAGATTTCACCAAGGGAAAAATGAAGTTTACATTTGATAATATTTTTCCATTTCTTTTAGATGGCTTGATCAAGGAGGGAGAAACCAAGAGTCAAAGTAACTCAATTGAAACGGATTTACGCAAAGTCGAACAACTCACTCGTGGACAGAAGTCTAGTGAGAGAATAGCACAGTTGGAAGATTGTTGTGCCATATTTTATACAAAAGACAGTTATATATATCGTGTTGTAAATAAAGCATTACGTAATAATGATCGAACAAAATTATTTACGCTTGGACCTTTTTGTCATCTTCTTCTTTGTTATATTGGTCGACGTTTTGAAGATAATTCTACAATTGGTGACCGTCTTCGACAGACTTTTAGTGTAAATAAAATGCAGACAATAACTATTTATCGTGGTGATTTTGTTTGTCGTGAAACTTTAGAAGAATACCGACAAGCAGCTGGAGATAATACGAAACATTTTAAATGGCTTCCATTTGTTTCCACGTCACGTAAAGAAAAAAAAGCTTTAGAATTTCGTGGAAATATTTTATATAAAATTGAAATGCCTTCTTATTCATCAAAAAAAGATCAATTTAGAGATATCAAAAATATTAGTGAATTTGAAGACGAAGAAGAAATTTTATTATTACCTGGAGTGCAATTTCATGTGAATAAGTTGGAATTTGATAATAAAATGGGGCGACATATTGCCGAGATCAAAATTCATTTATCCTACATCTCCAACTTATAATCAATTACTGTACGATCAGTTTTGTCGGAACAGAATAAAATTCATTTTTTTTTGTAAATTACTTGAGAATTTATTAACATTTAAATGTAGTAATAAACCAATCTTTGAAAATTGAACTATTGAATTCATGATTAAATAATTCAACTATAACTATGAAGAAAAAGGGAAAAATAAATGTGGATGTTGTGTGTGCATGAACGCGTGGATACATATGTGAAATCAATATAATAACCTTAGTTTCACACGTCCTCGAAACTATTCCACATTCCCTGAAAGTGCTAAATTGTTCCATGCATTGTGCCATCAAACCAAGTAGTGAAAGCAAGTAATGGTATTGTGATACGTACAAAGTCACCTGGCACGAAATCAATACTTCCTCAGAAACGATCATATATTGGATGATCAAGACATGTACGAGAAAGTGACAGGTTCTTTCCAGTAGCATATTGTTCTAGTGTAATGCAAAAGAGAAGTGGCGGTTGTTCTCAACTCATAAATCATTGATTAGTTCCACTATAGGATGAGCCACTTTCGGTCCTCGTTCATATCATTTCAGTTCAAGGATCGTTGAAAATCTTTCAGTATTGGAAACAATGAGATAATCCATGAGTAGGTTGTTGCCATCATGTATAAGAACATAGATTGTGTGAAAAGTAACTGCTACTGAAAAATGAATTAAAATACAATTGAGTTATAAGATAAAATTGTACTTGATGCCGTTGTTGTGTCGTTTAATATAGGCACATGCTGGATCTCATACTCATCGACACATAACAAAGAAACACAATGAATATTAGCATCATTTATTTATACAAATGGCATCAGGCTCATTCTACAATGAACTTAACGATAAAATTATTTTGATTTGTATTTTGTCAATTAAACTTCCATCAGATCTACTCACGACAAAGAGTCTGATCAAATGGTAAGTGAATAGCTTTCCTTTCAAAGTTTTTATTGCATATCTATTCATATAAGATTAAAAAAGAAAAAGATTTATCTTTATATGATAGATTTTACTCAAATATCAATAAGAGATTCTTTTTGAAATAACACCTTTTGTATTACTTTATTTTCATAAGCATAATTTGTTCGTTTTACTTCATAGTTTGTAGAATATTAAGTTGCTGCTATACTATTGTCATTGGTATCTGGGCATTCGATGTTTACAACCTTCTTAATAAATGATGGATATGATCTGTCATTGATTACATCTAGATTTTCAACATACGTTGCAATTAATGTTGCTGATCTGTTTAAATCCCATGCAATAGTTCGAAAGCCATGTTCCATTTGATCACCATCTCGAAAATAAGACCATGAATGATTTAAATCTTCATCTACTTTGACTGATAGCATTGTTTCTAAACTAATAATACGATATTTTGTTTCATATAAACTTTCTCCTTCGTCATATACACCAGCATATGTGTACTTGATTAAAACATATCTATAATTAGGACTTTGAATAAAACTTAATGATGCTTGACGTGATTTATCATAAATCTCAATAAACAGGTTATTATCAAATGGCAAATTTTTATCTGTATAACAGTATAATCGTTGTAATTCAATAAATTTATCAAACCAATATTTATATTCATTTTGTTCAGATTCAGTTTTAGTATCATCAAATACAATTTTCTCAAGTTCAGGCTTCACTCGATGTAATAAAATTGAATGATAACAAAAATGACATGAACTCCCTAACATTTGAAATTGAGGAGGAAAATATTTATTACATTGACATGTTCCTGATGATTTATCTTGCTCTGAAAGTCCAGTACATATAATTACTTTTGATTGAGATTCTTGGACTTGAAGTACTGTCTCATTACCATTGTAAACAGGTTGACAAATAATACCATTCTCTTTCATAGTGTTTAATAAGCGACTACAGTAAGAAAGTGAAGCTATTTCATCTTGTTTATGCAATTGTGTACTTTGGACTGATGGAACGTAAGCGTCTTCGACTATTTGAGGATCATAAGAACAAATTTTAGTTTGATCTTTGAGTTCTGTAACAGTACTTTTAGCTTTAACTTCAGTTTGATTCTTAGAACTTGCTGTAGAATGAACGATTGGGTTATCCTTTTTAGTAGTATCTTGTAGACCTATACTGCTGCAGATGTATGATTAATTCAGTTATTATTCTTATTATTACCTGGCGAAGACATAATTTCAATTGATAAACTTGTAATTTTATGTTGAAAAATATTTTATTTGCATAAAGAATGCTATGGTGGTGTGCACATTAACTTGCGACACATTTTTTTTACTTTCTTCATGCACGTTATACACTGATAAAAGGCAAAAAACAATCTTTTTCCTTTTCTAACAACAACGGGGAGAAAAATATATAGTTACACATGTGATTCATGCAGAACGCTATTCGATCATGTACACTAAAAGTAGAATTGCTGATGAGTAATCGCAGAGAGCTGACACGATTTCGTTCAAGTTGGTTAGCTAATCAGGCGAATTTACTTCAACAGTTTTTCAATGAAAAATATTCCGTATATAAAAAAGACAAGTGCGAGTATTTTTAATGGAACGAAATAGATGTCATCACATCATAGTTCTATCAAGTTTTCAAAAATACTCCATATCTTACTCAATTGACATACAGTTTTCTATAGTTCAATAAACACCAGTTGATAAATACATCAAGTGCTTAAAGGGTGGATGGGTTTGGCTAGTTATTCTGTTAACACACTATTATTGTTTAAAAGTTGTAACATTAGATCTCAAGGTTTTTTTAAACTATTTTCGTTTTGCACTTAAACTGAATGTATGCCCTTTGTAGAAAGGAAGTGCTTTATCATTGTGTGTGTATGTAACGAAAAAGCATCGCACCGTAATTACAAAGCAATGTTACATAGAACAGAACAGAACGAGACAAAAGATAATAGAGCAGGAATCCAATTTCACTTTCTGACTTATCTGTTAAGTAGTGGAGTTTCCTTTGTAATTACAATATGATGTTTTTTCGTTACATACACTCACAATGATAAAGAACTTCCTTTCTACAAAGGGCATGCATTCAATATAAATACGAAGTGAAAATACTTGAAAACAAAACATTGAGATCTAACACTACAACTCTTAGGCAATAATGGTGAAAATTCATACACTTACTCTGCTCATTCTTGTTGGTATCTTATTATGTTTTTGTACAGGTTAGTTTTGTGATATCGTGATTATTATTCGACAGAAGTTATAATTTTATAGATTCCACCAATGGAGTCGTGAAAAAAGTTGTTCAGTATGCATTTCGATATCAGGCACTTCAAGCAGCTAAAAGGCACTTTAAAATCCCACGTGGTCAACAACCAATAAATACAGTCAAAGTTCCGGAGAGAAATTCTAGAGAAATGCTACGACAATATAATTACATAAATAATCAAGGAAAACCAATTTCTATTCGGCAAGATAATCCTCGAAAGTATGGACATCCACAAGGACATGGAGATCAAGGACCTCATTTCAATGCTGGTCCTACTGGAAGTAAACTTGAAAAACATTTTAATTTTGATAAATTCAACAAAAATAAAGGATAAATATTCTTATTCACTTCAATTGAAAAATTAAAATTCTAACAAAAAAAGTTTATGTAATAATTAAACTGATGTCTGATTATTTCTTGGCGACATCTAGTAAAATTTTATTCTTTATTAAATATTTGAGTTTTCAGAAAAATAAAATTCATTAAGTAGAGTACTTCATTTTTCATAGAATGAACATATATTCTATAAAATACAGGTTTTTCAATAGTACGAAAGTACGAATATAACTCATATAACAAACGTTTGATTTATCAATGTAAATGTGTCATAAAAACACGTGTCACATTGTACAAAGGTATATACAACGCTTGAGTAATTTAGATAAAAGTGCATGTAAACACACATTATATCGTCATTATTTTACATGGCTACATATCCGCGTACCTATCGAATTCATCACAAATTTCTATCGTCTAATCATAAATTTGAAATTGATAATGGTACCGATGAAATACTATATACTGTTCGTGCAACTCTATTTCCAACATTCGATAAATTTTCTATTTGTGAAACATCAGGTGGCAAAGAATTAATCAAAATTCAAAGAGAAGATCAGCATCTTCATTTAACATATAATATTTCAGCAGTCATGGAAAACGACAGTGCTACTCAACATTTAGCAACAGTCAGACGAATTCATGGTCGACATGAACATCATTTGCATGGTAAATTTGAAATAGATTCAATTTATGGAGTATATAAATTAGAACGTAATGCAAATCGATCTGAACATGAATTTAAAATAATAACTGGCGAGAAGACTGTGGTTGATGTAACTCATTTTACGAAATTAGAAAATATATATAATGTCGAAATAAATAGTGATGAAGGAGGTGATCTTTTTTTACTATCACTTGCGATTACACTTTCTTGTATACAACGCTGGCGACATCTGTGAGAATCATGTCAATAATATTTATCAAACACAAAAAAGACGATTTATTTTATTCTTTTTATGTAATACTTAACAATTATTAAAAAAAACAATAAATAAATATGTCAATCTAATCAACCTTATCACTTTCAGTTATTTTATAATAAAAGGATGACGTTGAAAACTGTAGTGAATGAATTGTGTTAAATTTACAAATTAGAATCAGAAGATATTACATAGATCTTTTCCAAAACATGTTGTATTGTGCATATTAAAATATTCGAACAAGTAACCATCTCTCTTCATATAAAATATTCGTATTTTATTTGGCAATAAATTATTCAATATGAACCCTCGAAAGTAATATATTGCTAACAAGTACCAATAAATATCAAGTATAGAATTTATAGTCAAGTAATAATATTCAAATATGCCGTCTTCGAATTAATTTACTTCACTTGATCTCTACTTAGAGCATTAATAGAAATCATTTACATAGATGAATAATAAATTACTTATTTTATTTGAGGTACGCACACTTGATTTTGAAGAGAAAAAAATATTTCGTATTGGTATATATACTGAAAGACGAAAACATCAATCATTACTTTATGATGGCTGCTGTTCGAACATTTTTCTTTGCTACTATTTTACTTTGTCTGTTGCTCGTCAATACAGGTAGAAAAATCAAAAGTTTATTTAATTTGTTCTGTTTAATATCTCATTATAGCTGTTGAGGGCTCATGCAGCGCTTGGTCACCAGAATTCAAGCGTACCGTAAATGGTTCATGTCGTACAATGTGTGTAGGTTCTGAGCGAAACGCTGGCCAACAATCATGTATGTCTGGATGGTGTTGTCTTCCGCGTAATTGATAAAACATTATCGATTTTTGACTAACTTTGAGAAAAATATTAATATTCATCTATTTCAATATTTAACCTATTTCCTTTTGAAATAAATGCCAAGAATAATATACTATTGATGTCAATGAAAACTAGACAATGATTATGACAGCCTCACATAGATTCATTATTGTTTTAATCGGAAACTGCTTGGCAAATGTTGACACAGAGAAAAAAAGGCAAATCAAAGATAGCATAATAAACATAGAAGTTGAAAATGTGTAGATATTATATTGGTGATTCAAGCAGATATTTCAGAAAAGTGATATCTTATATACTATACTAGTCGTTTATTAATACATGCCATACGCATTAGGCTTCGATCATATAACAAAACACAGTCTTACTGATAGTTTCACAGGAATACTATTCGTGATGGTATTGAAAATTATTTTCAGATCACAATTCAAAACTCAATATGATTTTCAACGAGAAACTAGTTTTATTAGAACGTGTATTTACAAGATTATTACGCCTCTCTTTTGTCTTGTGTATTTCTAGTGAATCTTTTGTACTATTTTTTAATCTAGAGCCGCGATACTTATATTTACGAGAAAAAAATTCATTCTCAACATATAAGTCTGTTACTGAGTAATAAAAGCTGAGACCAGCAGATTATATGTATCTTTTCATTAAAAGATAGACGAATCTGTTTTTTTTGATAGTTTTACCTTCATCACTATAAACAGATTCTATCATTGCCTGGTAGCAATATAAATTTAACTTAATTCTGGTTGCTCCACTCATTTATACCTTCAAGATGTAATAGATCTTACATGAAACTATCGTCGTATCGTTATCATTTTTTATTTTAAAAGAATAAAACACACGTTTTCATATGTAAGTAACTATTTTTCTAAAGTGATAAATCAACTTGAATTTTAGACAGTTATTATGCCGCGTGTATCTATTTGGTTCATTGTGGAAACCATTCATTTTATTTTGGGTTCTATTGGGTGTATTTTTAAAGCCGATACTGTAATTCAAAGTTATTCATTAAAGCCAAATCCAGTTTCGAGTCAAGCAATTGAGATGGTACATGTTTTAGCTGCCTTCTATGTACAGAATACTGTTCTATGTGGACTTTCTATTCAAAATAAAGAAATCTCGCATTATACTTCGCTCATTCTATTAATATTTTATTATTTATGTTTACTCTATGACATCTATGATATTATATTTCTTATGCGAAATAATGGTGAAAATGATTATCCTGTGAGTTACCCAGGATATCGATGGTTGGATACATTTATTCACATTGTATTTGGTGGTATTCATACAATTTTTTTTGTAAACGGAAGATTTTGATTTCTTTATACTTAACTCAGTATACATATATTCACAATATAATAGTGCATTATGATGTGCAACTTTTGAATAAGATATTATTAATGAACTTAAAAGGTGATTTAATCTTTTTAAAATACTCATTGTGTACATTCTAAAATAACCTATAAATAATGTAATAATATTTAAATTTCGAATATCTTCAATAAAGATTGTTTGATTACAAGAAAAGAAAATTTAATGATTTATAACTATAATTAAAATGCAGGTGTGGCTAAGAGAAAGGACACCCACCCACATCCTTAAGAAAACTTAGTAGTTACACAATTGCGTCTTTTCTTTGATCTGTGATACTCAAATATTAAGCTGTAAGTATAATAATATCTTTTATAATAAAGATAATATTCCTTATCTTTTTTTGTTACTGCAGCAGTGGTAGACAAATATATATGTTAAATTTTTTCTTATTTTGTCTCTTCTAAAGAACATACTATGCATCGCAATCAACTCTACAACGAAGATAATACAAAAAATATTCGAACACAAAAATGGTATCAACAACGTCGGATTAAAATTATCTTCATATGTTTTATCATTCTAGCAATATTAATAGTTACCCTCTCCTTGCTGTTAAAGTTCGTTATTCTTGCACCGAAGAACTCAGAAATTTCTACCAATACCACCGACATCTCAACATTCCTGCCCGTAACAACAACAACATCATCACTAACAACACTGACAACAAAAACGTCAACGTTAACGTCAACATTAACAATAACTACTAGCACTACTCCGCAGTCAGGTAATCGTTGCGCTCCTTTACCTCTAGGAATGATCCTTTTAAATGATTTATAAAAAGAGAATCTTAGCTTTATATCGTATATTTATCAAAAAATACAAGGTCGATTACAACACAGTCTAAAGAACAGTTTCTTCCCATAAGTTTAAAACTATTTTTTAATATTTAGAATGGTCGGAAAGTAATGATATGAATCATGCACGCCGATCCCATACAGCATCCATATTAAATAATGGAAAAGTTTTAGTTACTGGAGGATTTAATAGAGGTGTTATGAATTTTGCAGAATTGTATGATGTAGAATCACAAAATTGGACAACTATTAATAGCATGAATCAATCACGAGGTGAGCAAACTGCATCCTTGTTGAACAATGGAAAGATTTTAATTGCTGGTGGACTTTCCAATGATTTTTTAAGTAGTGCAGAGTTATATGATCCAGAAACAGAAACATGGACAATTACGGATAGTATGAATAGTAGACGAGCTGAACATGCAGCAACTACATTAGCAAATGAAAAAGTATTAATTACTGGCGGATTTGGAGATGGAAATACGCTCAATACTTCTGAGTTGTATGATTCATTAACAGAGACCTGGACAATTACAGGAAGTATGAATTACGAACGAAGCAAACATACATCATCTCTGTTAATCGATGGAAAAGTATTAGTTACTGGTGGACATGTTAGAGGTACGTATTTAGATAGTGTTGAATTGTATGATCCAGAAACAGAAACTTGGACAATTCTTGATAAGATGACTATTGCACGAAGTCAACACACAGCATCTGTTTTACCCAATGGGAAAGTATTGATTGCGGGAGGATTTGATACACAAAGCATTAATATTACTGAATTGTATGATCCGTCAACTAAAACGTGGAAAATTATTAACAGTATGAATCATGGTCGATGGGAACACACAGCATCCGTCTTACCGAATGGAAAAGTATTAGTTGTTGGTGGATATGATCATAATGCTGTAAATACTGCAGAATTATATGATCCATTAACAGAAATTTGGACAAATGTTGGTAACATGACTCATGCACGAGGTGAACATACAGCAACTTTATTGAACAATGGAACAGTTTTAGTTACTGGAGGAACCCTTGGTGGTTCGGCAGTGACTAATACTACAGAACTATATCAATCGTTTGAAATAAACTAATTTTCGTTTCTAAATATTATTCTTAAATCACAACCACCTTGAGGGTGTAAATATGTGAGGGTGTGGGTGTGGGTGGGTGTGGGTATCATATTTATATCGTATTAGCACCCACACCCACACCCTACTTTTCCACATTATACATGAATCTACGTTTGTTGCATTCGAACAAAATAAAATTTAACTTTACAATAGAATACAGAAACAAGTGAGATCATTATAATCCAAATGTGTAACATTTGAATAAAATTAGACTATGCATGACTCATCTGTAATCAACAGTTGACGATATAATATAGTTCTATCCTTTCTGTATGAGAAGTAAGTAACAACGAATGTGTATCAACATTATGTCAAAAATCAATTCAATTTATATGAACTTTCCATACTTTTTCATCGATTTGGCTCTCAATCTACAAATATGTTTTTCGTAATGGATATGGGCGTGGGTATACCGCTCTTTTCCTACCCTCACATCTACATCCTCAAGATGATAAAAATGAATATTATATCACAACCAGCTTATTATCTTTGCTCCACACAAGAAAGCATTGAAGAAAAAAAAACTTTCATCTCATCACATATTCTTTACACTTCACATTCTGTTTTTTTTTCAATGCCTTTGTATATTCAAGATAAGAACGGTAGCATAAAAACGAGTCACAACATTTGAATAAGTCATACTAAAAGTGAAAAAAATTGTTTTGCAACTTAAAAACAAATGTGTAGCATTACATTCATCTACGTTTGCTTTCTGGCACTACTTCCTCTAACTTTTCAACACCAATGTGTTCAGTATTGTGTTGTGTATCTATCATTCGATGAAATATTCGATAAACTTCCACCCGAATGTATCGAAACAAAACAAGATACTGAATGTTATACCGACATTAGTTTTGATTATGGAAAAAACTCAATCCAAATCAAATTTGGCGAACACAGTGTGAACGGTAGTGCTATTGCATCGGACGACTACTTCATATCTCAAGAAACAGAAATGTGGCATGAAACATACGCTCTTCAATGGACAACAGTAACACATATCTGTTAAATGAAAAAAGTAAGTAATGTAGTTAATCTTGAAAATATAATTTAATGGAAATTTTCGATCTTCAATCGATCATTATCAACCTTTAACACAACCTGATGATACAAACACAAAAAAAGAAAAATATTTTACACGAAAAATTATATGAAAAGGTGAAAAAGATCATATAATAATAATAATAATAAGTATAAATTATCTTATATGTAGTCATCATTCAAACATAAACATCATAATCATAACCATTGAATTGCTGTCAAATACAATTCACAACTAATAAATAAATAAGTACTCAAATTTGTTTAATACTACTATGTATCATTAATGTATGAAAAATAATAAGAATGCATATGACTATTCATCTTTTTCATATATTTTCGTGTAAAATATTTTTCTTTTTTGTGTTTGTATCATCAGTTTGTGTTAAAGGTTGATAATGATCGATTGAAGATCGAAAATTTCCATTAAATTATATTTTCAAGATTAACTACATTACTTACTTTTTTCATTTAATTTCAAATCTCAAAATTATTCATATTCATACATATCTGTTATCAAAACGATTTTTGTGATTTCGAGTATGTTAAAACAAAATTATTACAAATGCGTCAATTAACAACGAATTTTAACCAGTTTGAAAAGAAGCTAGCATCAACTTTGTTCGAAACAGGCTCAGGTGAGTACAAGAATGTAATTTGATATGTGCTTGATGAACTCTTTCTATTATAACGCGAGAGAGAGTCTGAGACGTTTAGTCTAATATTAGTGCAAAGTCTTCAACACTGCGAGATAAAAAGTTAACCTAAAAAGTAGTTTCTGCTTTACATATCTGAAAACTTGAAAAGCTCTAATGGTTTTTATTTAGATCCAAGTATCATTCGTTGTTTATCGGTGGATGGTCATATCATTACATGTGCTGAGAATATCAAGTCATGTACTTTAAATATTGATAATATTTATGCAAATAAATCACATCAAAGTTGTTCATCCCAGAGTGATGATAGATTACGAAAACAACTAGGAATCAAAGAAGCAACATCACACTATCTTAATGGTAAAGTTGATGCACGACAAAGTTCAGTGGAATATGTTTGTAATCATGAATTATGTAATGGACTAGACGTGTATAAGAACGTCATTCAACTTCTAATGGAATACAATTTAATACGTAATGATACCCATATTCAACCGTCTTCTACAACATCAAGCATAAATAAGTCACTTTATAAAATACTATTACTTATACCATTCATTTTATATTTTATATTCTATCAATAAATTTATCAACGCATAATCTATTCGTTCGAGTAACAAATTTCTCATTCTAATGTAGGAAGTATAGACGTTACACTCATTCTAGAAACTATCTTGAGGGTGTGGGTTTTGATTTGAGACGAATATAATAATCACACCCCCAGTGCCTTTTTGTTTCGTTCAATCAATTGAATTATCTGAATCAATAAAAATACAGAGTACATATTTAAACTGATTTAGCAGACTATGTCTATTACTACGTCTTACTTCATGCTTTGCATAATCAGAAAATTAGAGTGTGGATTACGAATGAATACAATACAAAGAATGTAATTGAACAAAACTATTGACCTATATTTGGTGAATTTTATTTGCGTTTATATATACTGATCTGATTTGTGATATTATAAATATTTCTCTATAATTCTCAAATGAAAACGAATTGTTCTCAACCAATAATATTTTCGATTGAACATGTTATTTGTCCTGATCGTTGATTTGATGGGCAAGGTAATGGGCCAGATCTAGTTGATGAACACCAATACCCTGGAGGGCACATAATGCAGTAGGCAAGACCTGGTACATGTGCATATGCTCCAGAAGCACAAGATGGACATGAAACCGCTAATCCAACTTGAGCGCTGGCCGTTCCGATAGAACAATCGACTGGTGCTAAATCAGCTTGTGGACAATAGCGACCTGCAAATACAAACGATAATACATATCAGTAACATATTTCTTTCATAAAAACATACTAAATGTCAATAATTTAAGCACAAAGAGAGAGAAAACATATATTTTATTCACAGCTCAAAATTGTTAGAATAGCAATGCAATTATTTCATAGTGAAAAAAGTAAATAACGTAATAAATATATATCCGCAATTCTTTTCATTATATTTAGAATAAACAACTGAAGTATTATATACTTACCAGGACCACAAATAGTGCAAAATGTAGCTCCAATATCTAATGTGTAGTATCCCCATGGACATGGACTGCATTGAGATTGTCCACCGATACTGAAAGTACCTGGTCTACATTTTCTTGGTGATTCTGCTGGATTTAAGCAGTCAGATCCAGGGAGGCACCATGCGCAAGATGATGCTCCGAAATCATCGCTATAGTTTCCATTACTACACGGTGTACATTGTGTTTGTCCAAGTAATGAAGTTGCTGTGCCAGGTGGACACTTCTCAGAGCCTCTGGTGGGATCTGGACATCGATGTCCTGGTGGGCAAATGTTGCAATATGTTGAACCGACTTTATCTGCATAATATCCATCTAAACATCGTGAGCAAGTTGATTGTGAAACACCACTGTAGCTTCCTAAAATGGACGTCTAGTTAATTTTTATTTAAATGAATTTGTATATCTATTTACCTGTTGGGCATGGTTTGGGATTTTCAGCAGGATTATCACAATAGTGACCAGCTAAACAAGGTGTACATACCGTGGCACCAGTACGTTCCGTAAAAGCTCCAAAAGGGCATTGTGAGCAGACTGTTTGTCGACGTGATGGATTGTGCTTACCCAATGCACAAGGTACAGGTGGCAATGCTGGATCAACACAAAATGATCCTAAATCAGACATGATAGATACTTAGATTATTCTCAAACACCATCTTGCGAGTGAGGGTGGGTAGATATGGATGAAGAAAGATGAAATATATATATATCCCCATACTCATCCTTCTCATTAATATGATGCTTATTAAAGTTCTAGTCTTTTATATGTATGTCATCTCATACTATTTGTTTCTTTTTTCCATATGGAAATATATCCAAATAAATAACGGTTAAAATGTTTACCCGGAGGACACTCTTCACAAAAGCTTTTGCCTTTAGATAATTGATAATAACCATTTGGACATGTTATACATTTTGATGCACCTGCAAGACTAAAAGTACCCTCTGCACAGAGAGTAGGTGTAATGCTTTTTTGTAAATCACAATATGATCCGGCAAAACATGGCACATTGACTGCTTTGCTAACAGAGCAAAATATGAATATAGAAAAGATGAATTTCCATTGGAATTCCATGTTCGTTTTGATATTATTTCTAAATAAAATGATTAAATACAGAATAAATTTATATTATTTCGGTAGTTAGAAATAATCATAGTTATATAACTTGTATCTTTAATATTGTTTAGTTTTCCAAATAGTTATAGAATGTATTAATCAATACAGACTTCTACTGCAACATTAATCCTTTCGAATACAATGAATCTCAAAAAAGAATTCCTGATAATAAAAACGAATTTCTACTCAATATTTCGTAGTAAAATTTGCTTCTTGGAAGAGTAAATATGAGCAGTGTTTACAATATATATCTATAATAGTATGAGAAGACAAAGATACGATGCTGACTTTACATAAGAATTTTGTCGCATTATATAAGAAACTCACCAGCAAATTGACTAGACTTGTAACAGAATTGATAATTGAATGAATCTGAAAATAGACAAAGTAGTTTAGTTGAAATGAAAGGATGAATATGTAATGAGAAATTCTAAAGATATTCTGAATGGTTAAGTTAAAGACTTACTCTTGAAAGTTTGAAGTTCTGACTACCAGTTATTCAAATGAAACGATTTTCGCGTTATGTAGATATACAAAAAAACACGCCTCACATTTTATCTCATCTCACCTTTTTCCAACTTTTAAATACTCATTCGCGGAATAAACATGAATCACTTGACGGTGTGGATAAATGTGGGGTGTGGGTAGGGTGTGGATGCAGGCGTGGGTGAGTGCAGATCTAGATGTGTGTATGAGTATGGGTATGGGTGCCGTGAAGCTTGCTGTTTTTATTCTACCCACATCTATATAGACATCGACACCCATATCCACGCCTACATGTATATTGATACCCACACCGGCACCTACATGCACGCTCACACCCACACCTGTACTCACATCTACATCTACACCCATACCCACCCACACTTACGCTCACCCATACCAGCCCATACCTACACCTTTAGTGTTGGGTCGAAAGAGCCTCGTAAGGAATGAAATCTTACGAAAGAAAATGCGAAGTTAACGAAACGTAGCGAACGAAACTGAATGATCGCATTAGTAATACACTTTCGCAAACTTCTCATAATTTCGTAATTTTAAGTTTTTAAAAAAGACGGGTTGGCGCATCGCTACCTACACCCTTATCTTTGTTTTTTTTCAACATGAAGATAAGTATAACTGCTGAAAAATATGTCTCTGATAAGCACTGTAAGTGATGCTTACAGTGTTGAAAATATTTTCAGCTATACACGTTGGCCATTTTTAGATTGATATAAAGCAAACATTTTATTATACATTCATACGATACAAAATTTGAGTTAAATACAAGGTAAGTATTATTTTTTATCGGATCAAGAATCTGCTTTTTTTTTAAAAATATTCTTGTTTTGTGTTTTACTGTTTCAGTTACTTGTTCATTTATTTGGTTCATTACAGTCGACAAAACATGAGTTCGGAAGTCAGGTAAAGTTTAATAAATTTTATCACTTTCTGTAATAAACTTTGATATAAACTAATAAGATAAAAATAGTGAGGATGTGAATGTGGTTTAACTGTAGATATCTGTATTAAATTGATCTCATATCATCATTCAGTCATCCACAGTCATCGTACACACACTCTCATCATAAACCTGTCATATTGATATCATATACTTACTTTCTAAGTCAATTTTTTTTCTCTAGACACCGCTCCTGCCTGATCGGAATGATTATCGGTCTAGTTATCGGTGTTAGTATTCAAGTTATTATAATAGTTGTACTGATGTTGACCGGCAAACTACCTACAAAATTAGAGCATTGTCCAGTCAGTTGTTCAAACTCAGTACAAATATCAACAACTACAGCAAGTGCTCCTATATTAACAACCACAGCAAGTGTTCTAATATTAACAACTACAGCAAGTGCTCCAACATCAACAACCACAGCAAGCGTCCCAATATCAACAACTACAGCAAGTGCTCCTATATCAACAACCACAGCAAGTGTTCCAGTATCAACAACTACAGCAAGTGTTCCAGTATCAACAACTACAGCAAGTGTTACAATATCAATACGTATGTTGGAATATTTACCTTAAAATAGAAAGAGTATTTGAATTTCTTTAAATATGCCAGCTTATATGTGACATACTGCATTATCTTGAGGTGACTGTCAATCGATAGACAATCGAAGTTGATACATACATGCACTCTCTACTATGTATTAATCACTAGATCCCTCACACATTATTACTTAATCAAAGTGTTACTCTACGCTTGTCTAAGAATCATACTAAACCTACTGAAATCGAGACTCTAAAAATAAAACTCTAAAGACATAAACGGAATAATTTAATTATTAAAACAATATGACTTAACAATGAAGTTAGTTATGTTTATAATTTGGTTTAAAAATACTAATACTTCTAGCTATTCAGGATGCACCATGTGAATCTGTGACACTGCTACCAGTACAATCAACAACACCGAAACCTCCATCTCCTCCACCTCTTCCTTCCTGTCCATATGTCTTATCAGAAATGAGTCAATCTCAAATTATTCAATTAATAAATGGGACATCCGCTTTGTATGTCTATCAACACTATAATAACGAATATCAAGCACCATTGTGTGCAACTGTCGCCATGATTAAATTCGAATTTATAACAAACGTCGGCAGGTGGCATCTTGATGATGTATCAGTTAAAGAAAAATACAATATCAATGAACAGTTAATCATTAACGGGGACTTCGAAACTGGTAGTTTGGATTCTAGCTGGGAATATTGTCATGGTATACATTCATGGTTCTCTGGTCATGTAACGAGCACAACAACTCGCACTGGTATCTATAGCTTTGAATCAGCGGATTTTGGTCCTGCGTCACACGACCATTTGTGGCAGACAATAAATATCAAAGGAGGAACTCCATATATAATAGAATTTTATTTGTTATATGCTGGGAATGTTGGTTCAGTAAAAGTCACTGTGGAGTCACGTTGAGAACAATATGTGCTCAACTACTTATGAAATATATATTTAATAAATATATGTTTTTCATTATATAGCGTCAAATATTCAGGATATAGGTATGAGTGAAAATGGCTAAGAAATAAATTGGATACTCACAATCACCACTCTGATAAAAACTTTTTCTAGAGTAAATATTTTTAAATAATAAATTCTGTTTATATGTATTATAAAAATGATTTCATTTTCAAGTTAGTTGTGTAGATATTCCAAGTGAAACATGAAACTAATAGTTTGGTATAAAGAATTAAGCTAACAATAATTCTTCTATCAATATTCGAAATATTCTTGAGGGTGTGGGTTATAACAGATATATCTCCTCTCTTAGCTCACATCCACGCCCGCCCTCAAAATTTTCAAACGTTTAACTTTATTACAGAAAAAATACTTTCTACCAACAAATTGCTTATATGTCTAAATAAAATCATATACGTCTGTATCCCATTAGTCTAATGCCGAGTGAATCGATTCCGGGTGAACGCCACTCCAAGAAATTTCTTCAGAATCTGGTGAATCTTCTTCTTCTTCTGGATCCTGATTTGTAAATAACACACTTGGAAAATCCAATCTCAGTGGAGCGATTTCATGTTCTAAAAAAATTTTATCGACTGGTTTAAGTAAACCTTTCTCAATTACACTTTCGAAATAATTAGCAGCTATATGATAATGTTTTTGCGCTTCAGTTGTATCGCCTATAAAATGATAATAACAATGACCAGTCGCTTCATAGAGTTTTCCAAGGTCGATCAGGCACTCATCATCATTCATTTCGGTTAAAATATCGATGGCAACTTTATAGTATTTAAGTATGACATTATAATTTTTATCTGTTCGAAGATGACGATGGTAATATCCGGCGATACACCAGAACTTGAATGCCATTAACCATTTTTCTGTTGGATATAAATTCAGTAGTTGTGTAAATATACTGTCGATATCATCTAAAGACATACCATTTAGTCGATCGGGAAATCGTCTTAAACATTTTTTTAAAATAGTTTTCTTTGTTATTGGTAATATCTCATCATACTCATATCCATAACCTAGATGACTATTTGATGTCAATTCTAATTTGGCAATCCAAAAGTTCTCAGTTCGACTGAAAACTACTTCGACTATTTGAAATTGTGTACCATTCAAAAATAATATCTCACATTCCTCTGGAAATTGGCTAAAGGTTGATATATCTGCAAAAGGCGGAGCGAATATGTTTTCTAGTTGTCGACAATCAACTTGAATTTCAAACAAAATACTTTGACATTCATCTTCTAATTTTGCGGATTGATTGAGAAACACAGTTGCTAGAGAACGTTGACGTGTTGTAGAGAGAAAGCTGTTATTACTAATAAATTCCCATTTTTGTAAATTTTTAATTTCAACACGTGAGATTTGCTGCCCACGATAGACTGTAAATGATGTTTCTGTTTGGAAGTATTTATTTGCATCTTCTAACTGTAGATAGAGATCTTTGATATAGAAGCCAAAGAGAAAGATAAGTTCAATATTATGTTGACGTAATGCTCTATTAATTAATCGAAAAAGAAATGAATCACGTGTGTACCAACGAAGAGCATCTGACGAAGTATAATTAGATTGAAATTCGTCTAAGACAGTGATTTGAGCTGGATTATCACTATAAAATTCTTTCAAGCAATGTACCAACCGATGACAACAATCGTCTGGATAAGACAAACTGCTCAAGGTAGCTATGAGACAAGGCCAACCTGTTATATCAGTTTCTGCAGCAGTTCTTCCTTCATTAGTGAGATCAAGAAACGAAGATGTAATTCTCTCATGTTTTAAATATGTTTGAACGTCTTCTGACAGATCATTTACCAGTTGATTGAGCTGAGTATAAACATGTTTAACCTTAAAGAAAAATCAAGTCAATATGAAATATATGAAAGGGCTGAGTTAGTATTTTTGTCAAGTCGCATGGTTCAAACTCCGATTGTCTTTCCTCTGTGAAGAATTATAAATACTCTAAGTGAAGGTGATCTGAAAGAGGTAAGACAACGATATTTTACAAGGTTCTCCAATTCAATTATATTCTCATTTTCGGCCTGCTTTAGGTCGATCTAAATCGGACTATGAAAAAGGGACCTGCTCCAATTTCTGCCGTATTCTTAGGTACTCACTATTGTGCACTTACTTCTGGGAAGTTTAAATTATGTTTTTGATTTGAGCGCCGTTCATCGTCATAGCAGTAGACATAAGTACGTAGAATATTAAAATAAGAATGGTGAATTTTTGATAATACATCATCGGTTAAATTTTGAGAACAAACTAAAAAAGTTGTTGTATCTTTCGTTTCTTCAAGTAATTTTAAACATTGTTCAATATCATTGAAGACAATTGTATGGCCAAAAACTTTTTGAAGAGAGGTGATCGATTCTATAACACTGCTGGTGTCAGCTTCGTTAGATTTCAACCAGATTAATTGATGAGATTCAAGGTTGGTTTCTTTTCGTTTTAACTTTGGTTCACTTTTTAAGAGTAGCTGATCATCATCACAAGTTTCGAATAGACAAAAGCTGCCATCGATACTTATGGATTTCGTGACGACAGTAATATTCAACAGTACTTCTAAGCTTTTATATCTGTCATGTAAATTTTCCAATCTTGAATTATCAGCACTATCATCCGCTGTAATATTCAACTGATGTTTCAAGTCATTAATTTTGTCTTGATATTTTGTAAAATTTAGTTTATTTAGTTCCAGAACTTCTTGTTGTTTCTGTTCGTAAAATTGATCGATTGCTCTGATAGAATCAGTTTTCCAATTTGCTAATGTTTGTAATGGTTGCTGAAGAAAATGTTCGTGGTCGAGATGTTTCAATTTAAAATTGAGTTCTTCCATCAATGATAACTGATGAAAATATTGAGTTAAGCGAAAAACATGTTCTTTTTTTATTTAGAAAGAAAAAATGCACTATTCAACAATGGTATGTATTCTACCAGCATGATTTTTTTGTTCTTGTTATGACTATCGAGCGACCGAACTGTATTTCTTCTTGTTTTTTTTCTTTCTGTTCTATGTATTTCATACGTGCGAAAAAAAACTGTTGGTTCTTTCATCGTTCTTCAGTCTTTATTGTTTCCTTTTTGTACACCAGAACGAAAATACCATTAATATTTTAAAACTGAATATAATCAGAACAAGAACCGATGTATCCTCCAAACAACAATGTGAGCGAAAGAAATCAGTACAATCCTTTTTACTTTTAATTCTCAAAAATCTAATAATTTTCAAATGACTACACATTTCCCTCGTCAATCAATATTTCTCCTATTGTAATATCTTTCCTGTATGTCAATGTTGTATTGAAAAATCCTATAAGCAGAAAATAAATTATTAGATAATCGTTATTTAACTTTTATATAAATTAATTCATTTGAAAATAAATTTTTAATATAACAAAAAGATTAACAAAGCTGTATCGCGAAATCGTGCAGAGATTAGAAATATCAAACACGATGAAGTCACTTACAGTATGAAAATATAATCGAGACATATGCTGCACTTTGCATTTGTTTATTCTCAACATCTCTTTGACGTCTGTAATACAACTCGAAACATCTTAGTTTTACTAATAAAGGCCATACTCAAAAACTTGACCATGGGTGTTGTTGTGAATGTAGAAAAGACATCCACTCTCATTCTCAAAAATTTTCATACGCATTCGATTTGAAAACGATTTAAGTTTCGTCAGATTCTTATGGTATATATTGCAACTTTCATTAGAGTCTTAATATGAAAATGAATTAATATTTTCTAAATTCAAACAACAATATTGTACTCTTTTTAATGAGTATACTATAGAATAGGTAAATGTGTCCGGTCACATACATAATAACTCTTCAAAAAATAATCTGATTATAATGAAATTTTATACATCGAATTGTCTTATGAATGGCTTGATCGAGTTCGAAGTTGAGAATGATTCATCAAGAAATTACTGATTTATAACAAGCAATGCCATTTTTTCCTGTGTGTTTTCGATAGTTCGATTAAAATCAATCTATCGTCAATTACTTTTACTTTTTGAAATATAAGGTTTCTACATTATTCTTTCGCAAGATAAGTGTTAAAGTCGCAATCAGTGCTACAAAATACATATAATAATCTCGTGGGATGTGTTCAAGTATAGACGAGTCGATGTCTGGTATTGTCATTTATCTTTCCGTTCCTGATGATAATAATAGTTTTCTTGTCTTTACTTCAATTCATTTTATCCTTTTTTCTGGTTCATGAAAAAAGTCTAAATAAAAGTTCATTTTATGTCCTCATAAATGCTAATGAATGAAACTATTTATGATCAATAATTATCAATGCATGATTAATATTTAACAAAAAAAAAAGCAAAAAATATCGTGTCATTATTATTCAGATTAAAAATAACAGGAAACAGTCATTAATTATTGTTTTTTTTCTTTCGTGACTATCATGTGTAATTAATTGACAGAACTCCGCTCTAAATGCAATCATAAGTTTTTCATCTTTATCAAAACATTTTTTTTCTCTCTTATATACTAAATAAAAGCTTAAGATAATTCGTAGTTATGGATAGTTAGTTTTACGAAGAATATAATATAAATAAATTCTTTTATTTGAAAAAAAACGCTGTAATGTGTGTTTTTCTATAGGATTTTAATCTTTATTAATTGTATTTATAATAGTCTTCGATTATACTTTTGAGAATTACGATAAAGAGATACAACTAATAAATTAATCGTAGAAGACGCTGTTCAGTGCGCAGCTATGACTGTTCCACAAGATAAAATATTCGTACTGAGCAAACTATTTTTTTTATCTTTAGAACAGTAATGTCTTCATCAATTATAGCAAGTATTCAAAGTGATTTAACTCTTTATGGATATTCAATTACTATGGTTTTTGGAAATATTGGTAATATATTTGTGGTCATAATTCTTAGTCGACAACGTGAAAATGCTTGTTCTATTTATTTATTAAGTGCGGCTGTAGTGAATATTATCTATTTGACATTCTACGGTTTTATTCAAATATTTCCTGTTAATTATCGAAATGTAACAACAACTGCATTTGTATTATGTAAAATATATTTATATATAGCAGGCATTCTAGGACAGTTAGCTAAAACATTACTTGTCTTAGCATCGATTGATCGTTTTTTAGTGACAAATCGTCATGCACTTGTCCGAGGATATAGTACACCTAAACGAGCAAAATATCTTGTATTTTTTGGTTTTATTTTCTGGTTATTATTGAGTATTCATCTTCCTATCATGACCACTATTGTTAATGGACAATGTACTGGAGTTGGTATTTATGTCACTATTCGTGCAATTTATGTACTCATTTTTGTTGGATTACTTCCACCAATCATGTTGAGTATATTTGGTTTTTTAACTTATCGTAACATGAGACAACTTCATAATCGTATTCGACCAACGGCTAATAATGCAGATACTCCAATGCAGCGACGAGATCGAGATTTATTAAAACTTGTCATTTCAGAAACAGTCGTCTATCTAATTACAGCTGGTCCATATCCATTAATGTTTTTAGAAACGATGATTAGTCAATATGTTGTTCAAAATAAAAGTATTCAATATTCTCAAATTGAAGTTTTTATGCTTAATATTGTAACATTTATATTATTCATTAATAGTGCGGCACCTTTTTATACATATATAATTGCATCAAAATCATTTCGTCATGATTTTACACGAATAATTATTAATGGTTATCGAAAAATAATAAGACTGTTTGTTTGATCCAATTGTATTTTAAGTGAACTGAATATCGACATAACAAGAGATTCATGTTTAAAAATTTGATTTGTCTAACTTTTCTAATATTATATTTGTATTGTTTTCATTGTTAAAAAGTCATGTAAAAAT